CGCCCCCATTCACGTTCACCCCCATTCACGTTCGCCCACATTCACGTCCGCCCCCATTCACGTCCACCCCCATTCACGTCCGCCCCCATTCACGTGCGCCCCCATTCACGTTCGCCCCTATTCCCGTTCGCCCCCATTCACGTTCGCCCCCATTCACGTTCGCCCCCATTCACGTTCGCCCCCATTCACGTTCGCCCCCATTCACGTTCGCCCCCATTCACGTTCGCCCCCATTCACGTCCGCCCCCATTCACGTCACCCCCATTCACGTCCCCCCCGTTCACGTCCGCCCCGTTCACGTCCGCCCCCGTTCACATCCGCCCTCGTTCACGTCCGCCCCCCGTTCACGTCCGCCCCCCTTCACGTCCGCCCCCCTTCACGTTCCCCCCATTCACGTCGCCCCATTCACGTCCGTCCCCATTCACGTTCGCCCCCATTCACGTCGGCCCCCATTCACGTTCGCCCCCATTCACGTTCGCCCCCATTCACGTGCCCCCATTCACGTTCGCCCCCATTCACGTTCGCCCCCATTCACGTTCGCCCCCATTCACGTTCGCCCCCATTCACGTTCGCCCCCATTCACGTTCGCCCCCCATTCATGTTTGCCCCCATTCACGTTCGCCCCCATTCACGTTCGCCCCCATTCACGTTCGCCCCCATTCACGTTCGCCCCCATTCACGTTCGCCCCCATTCACGTTCGCCCCCATTCACGTTCGCCCCCATTCGCGTTCGCCCCCAATCACGTTCGCCCTTATTCACGTTCGCCCCCATTCACGTTCGCCCCCATTCACGTTCGCCCCCATTCACATTCGCCCTCATTCACGTTCGCCCCCTTCACGTGCGCCCCCTTGACGTTCGCCCCCATTCACGTTCGCCCCCATTCACGTTCGCCCCCATTCGCCCCCATTCACGTTCGCCCCCATTCACGTCCGCTTCCATTCACGTTCGCCCCCATTCACGTTCGCCCCCATTCACGTTCGCCCCCATTCACGTCCGCCCCCATTCACGTCCGCCCCCATTCACGTCCGCCCCCATTCACGTTCGCCCCATTCACGTGCGCCCCCATTCACGTGCGCCCCCATTCCCGTTCGCCCCCATTCCCGTTCGCCCCCATTCCCGTTCGTCCCCATTCCCGTTCGCCCCCATTCCCGTCCGCCCCCATTCACGTTCGCCCCCATTCACGTTCGCCCCCATTCACGTTCGCCCCCATTCACGTTCGCCCCCATTCACGTTCGCCCCCATTCACGTTCGCCCCCATTCACGTTCGCCCCCATTCACGTTCGCCCCCATTCACGTTCGCCCCCATTCACGTTCGCCCCCATTCACGTTCGCCCCCATTCACGTTCGCCCCCATTCACGTTCGCCCCCATTCACGTTCGCCCCCATTCACGTTCCCCCCCATTCACGTGCGCCCCCATTCACGTGCGCCCCCATTCCCGTCGCCCCCATTCACGTGCGCCCCCATTCACGTGCGCCCCCATTCCCGTGCGCCCCCATTCCCGTCCGCCCCCATTCACGTCCGCCCCCATTCACGTCCGCCCCCATTCACGTCCGCCCCCATTCACGTCCGCCCCCGTTCACGTCCGCCCCGTTCACGTCCGCCCCCGTTCACGTCCGCCCCCGTTCACGTCCGCCCCGTTCACGTTCGCCCCCGTTCACGTCCGCCCCCGTTCACATTCGCCCCCATTCACGTTCGCCCCCATTCACGTTCGCCCCCATTCACGTTCGCCCCCATTCACGTTCGCCCCCTTCACGTGCGCCCCCTTCACGTGCGCCCCCTTGACGTTCGCCCCCAATCACGTTCGCCCCCATTCGCCCCCATTCACGTTCGCCCCCATTCACGTCCGCGTCCATTCACGTTCGCCCCCATTCACGTTCGCCCCCATTCACGTTCGCCCCCATTCACGTCCGCCCCCATTCACATTCGCCCCCATTCACGTCCGACCCCATTCACGTTCGCCCCCATTCACGTTCGCCCCCATTCACGTTCGCCCCCATTCACGTTCGCCCCCATTCACGTGCGCCCCCATTCCCGTTCGCCCCGATTCCCGTTCGCCCCCATTCCTGTTCGCCCCCATTCACGTCCACCCCCATTCACGTTCGCCCCCATTCACGTTCGCCCCCATTCACGTCCACCCCCATTCACGTTCGCCCCCATTCACGTTCGCCCCCATTCACGTTCGCCCCCATTCACGTTCGCCCCCATTCACGTTCGCCCCCATTCACGTTCGCCCCCATTCACGTTCGCCCCCATTCACGTTCGCCCCCATTCACGTTCGCCCCCATTCACGTTCGCCCCCATTCACGTTCGCCCCCATTCACGTTCGCCCCCATTCACGTTCGCCCCCATTCACGTTTCCCCCCATTCACGTCCGCCCCCATTCACGTCCGCCCCCATTCACGTGCGCCCCCATTCACGTGCGCCCCCATTCACATGCGCCCCCATTCACGTTCGCCCCCATTCACGTTCGCCCCCATTCACGTTCGCCCCCATTCACGTTCGCCCCCATTCACGTTCGCCCCCATTCACGTTCGCCCCCATTCACGTTCGCCCCCATTCACGTTCGCGCCCATTCACGTCCGCCCCCATTCACGTCCGCCCCCATTCACGTTCGCACGTTCGCCCCCATTCACGTTCGCCCCCATTCACGTTCGCCCCCATTCACGTTCGCCCCCATTCACGTTCGCCCCCATTCACGTTCGCCCCCCTTCACGTTCGCCCCCATTCATGTCCGCCCCCATTCACGTCCGCCCCCATTCACGTCCGCCCCATTCACGTTCGCCCCCATTCACGTTCGCCCCCTTCACGTGCGCCCCCTTCACGTGCGCCCCCTTGACGTTCGCCCCCATTCACGTTCGCCCCCATTCGCCCCCATTCACGTCCGCCCCCATTCACGTCCGCCCCCATTTACGTCCGCCCCCATTCACGTTCGCCCCCATTCACGTTCGCCCCCATTCACGTTCGCCCCCATTCACGTTCGCCCCCATTCACGTTCGCCCCCATTCACGTTCGCCCCCATTCACGTCCGCCCCCATTCACGTGCGCCCCCATTCACGTGCGCCCCCATTCACATGCGCCCCCATTCACGTTCGCCCCCATTCACGTTCGCCCCCATTCACGTTCGCCCCCATTCACGTTCGCCCCCATTCACGTTCGCCCCCATTCACGTTCGCCCCCATTCACGTTCGCCCCCATTCACGTTCGCGCCCATTCACGTCCGCCCCCATTCACGTCCGCCCCCATTCACGTTCGCACGTTCGCCCCCATTCACGTTCGCCCCCATTCACGTTCGCCCCCATTCACGTTCGCCCCCCTTCACGTTCGCCCCCATTCACGTCCGCCCCCATTCACGTCCGGCCCCATTCACGTTCGCCCCCATTCACGTTCGCCCCCATTCACGTTCGCCCCCATTCACGTTCGCACGTTCGCCCCCATTCACGTTCGCCCCCATTCACGTTCGCCCCCATTCACGTTCGCCCCCATTCACGTTCGCCCCCATTCACGTTCGCCCCCATTCACGTTCGCCCCCATTCACGTTCGCCCCCATTCACGTTCGCCCCCATTCACGTTCGCCCCCATTCACGTTCGCCCCCATTCACGTTCGCCCCCATTCACGTTCGCCCCCATTCACGTTCGCCCCCATTCACGTTCGCCCCCATTCACGTTTTGCCCCCATTCACGTTCGCCCCCATTCACGTTCGCCCCCATTCACGTTCGCCCCCATTCACGTTCGCCCCCATTCACGTTCGCCCCCATTCACGTTCGCCCCCATTCACGTTCGCACGTTCGCCCCCATTCACGTTCGCCCCCATTCACGTTCGCCCCCATTCACGTTCGCCCCCATTCACGTTCGCCCCCATTCACGTTCGCCCCCATTCACGTTCGCCCCCATTCACGTTCGCCCCCATTCACGTTCGCCCCCATTCACGTTCGCCCCCATTTACGTTCGCCCCCATTCACGTCTGCCCCCATTCACGTTCGCCCCCATTCACGTTCGCCCCCATTCACGTTCGCCCCCATTCACGTTCGCCCCCATTCACGTTCGCCCCCATTCACGTTCGCCCCCATTCACGTTCCCCCCCATTCACGTCCGCCCCCATTCACGTTCGCCCTCATTCACGTTCAACCCCATTCACGTTCGCCCCCATTCACGTTCGCCCCCATTCACGTTCGCCCCCATTCACGTTCGCCCCCATTCACGTTCGCCCCCATTCACGTTCGCCCCCATTCACGTTCGCCCCCATTCACGTTCGCCCCCATTCACGTCCGCCCCCATTCACGTTCGCCCCCCTTCACGTTCGCCCCCCATAACGTCCGCCCCCCATTCACGTTCGCCCCCATTCACCACCGCCCCCATTCACGTTCGCCCCCATTCACGTTCGCCCCCATTCACGTTCGCCCCATTCACGTTCGCCCCCTTTCACGAGCGTTCGCCCCCATTCACGTTCGCCCCCATTCACGTTCGCCCCCATTCACGTTCGCCCACGTTCACGTTCGCCCCCATTCACGTTCGCCCCCATTCACGTTCGCCCCCATTCACGTTCGCCCCCATTCACGTTCGCCCCCATTCACGTTCGCCCCCATTCACGTTCGCCCCCATTCACGTTCGCCCCCATTCACGTTCGCCCCCATTCACGTTCGCCCCCATTCACGTTCGCCCCCATTCACGTTCGCCCCCATTCACGTTCGCCCCCATTCACGTTCGCCCCAATTCACATCGCCCCCATTCACGTTCGCCCCTATTCACGTTCGCCCCCCTTCACGTTCTCCCCCTTTCACGTTCGCACCCCTTCACGTTCGCCCCCATTCACGTTCGCCCCCATTCACGTTCGCCCCCATTCACGTTCGCCCCCATTCACGTTCGCCCCCATTCACGTTCGCCCCCATTCACGTTCGCCCCCATTCACGTTCGCCCCCATTCACGTTCGCCCCCATTCACGTTCGCCCCCATTCACGTTCGCCCCCATTCACGTTTGCCCCCATTCACGTTCGCCCCCATTCACGTTCGCCCCCATTCACGTTCGCCCCCATTCACGTTCGCCCCCATCCACGTTCGCCCCCATCCACGTTCGCCCCCATCCACGTTCGTCCCCGTGCACGTTCGTCCCCATGCACGTTCGTCCCCGTGCACGTTCGCCCCCGTGCACGTTCGCCCCCGTCCACGTTCGCCCCCGTCCACGTTCGCCCCCGTCCACGTTCGTCCCCGTGCACGTTCGCCCCCGTCCACGTTCGCCCCCGTCCACGTTCGCCCCCGTCCACGTTCGCCCCCGTCCACGTTCGCCCCCGTCCACGTTCGCCCCCGTCCACGTTCGCCCCCGTCCACGTTCGCCCCCGTCCACGTTCGCCCCCGTCCACGTTCGCCCCCGTCCACGTTCGCCCCCGTCCACGTTCGCCCCCGTCCACGTTCGCCCCCGTCCACGTTCGCCCCCGTCCACGTTCGCCCCCGTCCACGTTCGCCCCCGTCCACGTTCGCCCCCGTCCACGTTCGCCCCCGTCCACGTTCGCCCCCGTCCACGTTCGCCCCCGTCCACGTTCGCCCCCGTCCACGTTCGCCCCCGTCCACGTTCGCCCCCGTCCACGTTCGCCCCCGTCCACGTTCGCCCCCGTCCACGTTCGCCCCCGTCCACGTTCGCCCCCGTCCACGTTCGCCCCCGTCCACGTTCGCCCCCGTCCACGTTCGCCCCCGTCCACGTTCGCCCCCGTCCACGTTCGCCCCCGTCCACGTTCGCCCCCGTCCACGTTCGCCCCCGTCCACGTTCGCCCCCGTCCACGTTCGCCCCCGTCCACGTTCGCCCCCGTCCACGTTCGCCCCCGTCCACGTTCGCCCCCGTCCACGTTCGCCCCCGTCCACGTTCGCCCCCGTCCACGTTCGCCCCCGTCCACGTTCGCCCCCGTCCACGTTCGCCCCCGTCCACGTTCGCCCCCGTCCACGTTCGCCCCCATTCACGTCCTCACGTTCGCCCCCATTCACGTTCGCCCCCATTCACGTTCCCCCCACTCACGTTCGCCCCCACTCACGTTCACCCCATTCACGTTCGCCCCCATTCACGTTCGCCCCCATTCACGTTCGCCCCCATTCACGTTCGCCCCCATTCACGTTCGCCCCCATCCACGTCGCCCCCATCCACGTCCGCCCCCATTCACGTTCGCCCCCATTCACGTTCGCCCCCATTCACGTTCGCCCCCATTCACGTTCGCCCCCATTCACGTTCGCCCCCATTCACGTTCGCCCCCTTCACGTGCGCCCCCTTCACGTGCGCCCCCTTGACGTTCGCCCCCGTCCACGTTCGCCCCCGTCCACGTTCGCCCCCGTCCACGTTCGCCCCCGTCCACGTTCGCCCCCGTCCACGTTCGCCCCCATTCACGTTCGCCCCCATTCACGTTCGCCCCCATTCACGTCCTCACGTTCGCCCCCATTCACGTTCGCCCCCATTCACGTTCCCCCCACTCACGTTCGCCCCCATTCACGTTCGCCCCCATTCACGTTCGCCCCCATTCACGTTCGCCCCCATTCACGTTCGCCCCCATTCACGTTCGCCCCCATTCACGTTCGCCCCCATTCACGTTCGCCCCCATTCACGTTCGCCCCCATTCACGTTCGCCCCCATTCACGTTCGCCCCCATTCACGTTCGCCCCCATTCACGTTCGCCCCCATTCACGTTCGCCCCCATTCACGTTCGCCCCCATTCACGTTCGCCCCCATTCACGTTCGCCCCCATTCACGTTCGCCCCCATCCACGTCGCCCCCATCCACGTCCGCCCCCATTCACGTTCGCCCCCATTCACGTTCGCCCCCATTCACGTTCGCCCCCATTCACGTTCGCCCCCATTCACGTTCGCCCCCATTCACGTTCGCCCCCTTCACGTGCGCCCCCTTCACGTGCGCCCCCTTGACGTTCGCCCCCATTCACGTTCGCCCCCATTCGCCCCGATTCACGTCCGCCCCCATTCACGTCCGCCCCATTCACGTTCGCCCCCATTCACGTTCGCCCCCATTCACGTTCGCCCCCATTCACGTTCGCCCCCATTCACGTTCGCCCCCATTCACGTTCGCCCCCATTCACGTTCGCCCCCATTCACGTCCGCCCCCATTCACGTTCGCACGTTCGCCCCCATTCACGTTCGCCCCCATTCACATGCGCCCCCATTCACGTTCGCCCCCATTCACGTTCGCCCCCATTCACGTTCGCCCCCATTCACGTTCGCCCCCATTCACGTTCGCCCCCATTCACGTTCGCCCCCATTCACGTTCGCCCCCATTCACGTTCGCGCCCATTCACGTCCGCCCCCATTCAAGTCCGCCCCCATTCACGTTCGCACGTTCGCCCCCATTCACGTTCGCCCCCATTCACGTTCGCCCCCATTCACGTTCGCCCCCATTCACGTTCGCCCCCATTCACGTTCGCCCCCATTCACGTTCGCCCCCATTCACGTTCGCCCCCATTCACGTTCGCCCCCATTCACGTTCGCCCCCATTCACGTTCGCCCCCATTCACGTTCGCACGTTCGCCCCCATTCACGTTCGCCCCCATTCACGTTCGCACGTTCGCCCCCATTCACGTTCGCCCCCATTCACGTTCGCCCCCATTCACGTTCGCCCCCATTCACGTTCGCCCCCATTCACGTTCGCCCCCATTCACGTTCGCCCCCATTCACGTCCGCCCCCATTCACGCCCGCCCCCATTCACGTTCGCCCCCATTCACGTTCGCCCCCATTCACGTTCGCCCCCATTCACGTTCGCCCCCATTCACGTTCGCCCCCATTCACGTTCGCCCCCATTCACGTTTTGCCCCCATTCACGTTCGCCCCCATTCACGTTCGCCCCCATTCACGTTCGCCCCCATTCACGTTCGCCCCCATTCACGTTCGCCCCCATTCACGTTCGCCCCCATTCACGTTCGCACGTTCGCCCCCATTCACGTTCGCCCCCATTCACGTTCGCCCCCATTCACGTTGGCCCCAATTAACGTTCGCCCCCATTCACGTCCGCCCCCATTCACGTCCGCCCCCATTCACGTCCGCCCCCATTCATGTTCGCCACCATTCACGTTCGCCCCCATTTATGTTCGCCCCCATTCACGTCTGCCCCCATTCACGTTCGCCCCCATTCACGTTCGCCCCCATTCACGTTCGCCCCCATTCACGTTCGCCCCCATTCACGTTCGCCCCCATTCACGTTCCCCCCCATTCACGTCCGCCCCCATTCACGTTCGCCCTCATTCACGTTCAACCCCATTCACGTTCGCCCCCATTCACGTTCGCCCCCATTCACGTTCGCCCCCATTCACGTTCGCCCCCATTCACGTTCGCCCCCATTCACGTTCGCCCCCATTCACGTTCGCCCCCATTCACGTTCGCCCCCATTCACGTCCGCCCCCATTCACGTTTGCCCCCCTTCACGTTCGCCCCCCATAACGTCCGCCCCCCATTCACGTTCGCCCCCATTCACCACCGCCCCCATTCACGTTCGCCCCCATTCACGTTCGCCCCCATTCACGTTCGCCCCATTCACGTTCGCCCCCTTTCACGAGCGTTCGCCCCCATTCACGTTCGCCCCCATTCACGTTCGCCCCCATTCACGTTCGCCCCCATTCACGTTCGCCCCCATTCACGTTCGCCCCCGTTCACGTTCGCCCGCGTTCACGTTCGCCCCCATTCACGTTCGCCCCCATTCACGTTCGCCCCCATTCACGTTCGCCCCCATTCACGTTCGCCCCCATTCACGTTCGCCCCCATTCACGTTCGCCCCCATTCACATCGCCCCCATTCACGTTCGCCCCCCTTCACGTTCTCCCCCTTTCACGTTCGCACCCCTTCACGTTCGCCCCCATTCACGTTCGCCCCCATTCACGTTCGCCCCCATTCACGTTCGCCCCCATTCACGTTCGCCCCCATTCACGTTCGCCCCCATTCACGTTCGCCCCCATTCACGTTCGCCCCCATTCACGTTCGCCCCCATTCACGTTCGCCCCCATTCACGTTCGCCCCCATTCACGTTCGCCCCCATTCACGTTCGCCCCCATCCACGTTCGCCCCCATCCACGTTCGCCCCCATCCACGTTCGTCCCCGTGCACGTTCGTCCCCGTGCACGTTCGTCCCCGTCCACCTTCGTCCCCGTCCACGTTCGCCCCCGTTCACGTTCGTCCCCGTCCACGTTCGTCCCCGTGCACGTTCGTCCCCGTGCACGTTCGCCCCCGTTCACGTTCGCCCCCGTCCACGTTCGCCCCCGTCCACGTTCGCCCCCGTCCACGTTCGCCCCCGTCCACGTTCGCCCCCGTCCACGTTCGCCCCCGTCCACGTTCGCCCCCGTGCACGTTCGCCCCCGTCCACGTTCGCCCCCGTCCACGTTCGCCCCTGTCCACGTTCGCCCCCGTCCACGTTCGCCCCCGTCCACGTTCGCCCCCGTCCACGTTCGCCCCCGTCCACGTTCGCCCCCGTCCACGTTCGCCCCCGTCCACGTTCGCCCCCGTCCACGTTCGCCCCCGTCCACGTTCGCCCCCGTCCACGTTCGCCCCCGTCCACGTTCGCCCCCGTCCACGTTCGCCCCCGTCCACGTTCGCCCCCGTCCACGTTCGCCCCCGTCCACGTTCGCCCCCGTCCACGTTCGCCCCCGTCCACGTTCGCCCCCGTCCACGTTCGCCCCCGTCCACGTTCGCCCCCGTCCACGTTCGCCCCCGTCCACGTTCGCCCCCGTCCACGTTCGCCCCCGTCCACGTTCGCCCCCGTCCACGTTCGCCCCCGTCCACGTTCGCCCCCGTCCACGTTCGCCCCCGTCCACGTTCGCCCCCGTCCACGTTCGCCCCCGTCCACGTTCGCCCCCGTCCACGTTCGCCCCCGTCCACGTTCGCCCCCGTCCACGTTCGCCCCCGTCCACGTTCGCCCCCGTCCACGTTCGCCCCCGTCCACGTTCGCCCCCGTCCACGTTCGCCCCCGTCCACGTTCGCCCCCGTCCACGTTCGCCCCCGTCCACGTTCGCCCCCGTCCACGTTCGCCCCCGTCCACGTTCGCCCCCGTCCACGTTCGCCCCCGTCCACGTTCGCCCCCGTCCACGTTCGCCCCCGTCCACGTTCGCCCCCGTCCACGTTCGCCCCCGTCCACGTTCGCCCCCGTCCACGTTCGCCCCCGTCCACGTTCGCCCCCGTCCACGTTCGCCCCCGTCCACGTTCGCCCCCGTCCACGTTCGCCCCCGTCCACGTTCGCCCCCGTCCACGTTCGCCCCCGTCCACGTTCGCCCCCGTCCACGTTCGCCCCCGTCCACGTTCGCCCCCGTCCACGTTCGCCCCCGTCCACGTTCGCCCCCGTCCACGTTCGCCCCCGTCCACGTTCGCCCCCGTCCACGTTCGCCCCCGTCCACGTTCGCCCCCGTCCACGTTCGCCCCCGTCCACGTTCGCCCCCGTCCACGTTCGCCCCCGTCCACGTTCGCCCCCGTCCACGTCCGCCCCCGTCCACGTCCGCCCCCGTTCACGTCCTCCCCCGTTCACGTCCTCCCCCGTTCACGTCCGCCCCCGTTCACGTCCGCCCCCGTTCACGTCCGTCCCCGTTCACGTTCGTCCCCGTTCACGTTCGTCCCCGTTCACGTTCGCCCCCATTCACGTTCGCCCCCATTCACGTTCGCCCCCATTCACGTTCGCCCCCATTCACGTTCGCCCCCATTCACGTTCGCCCCCATTCACGTTCGCCCCCATTCACGTTCGCCCCCATTCACGTTCGCCCCCATTCACGTTCGCCCCCATTCACGTTCGCCCCCATACACGTTCGCCCCCATCCACGTTCGCCCCCATCCACGTTCGCCCCCGTCCACGTTCGCCCCCGTCCACGTTCGCCCCCGTCCACGTTCGCCCCCGTCCACGTTCGCCCCCGTCCACGTTCGCCCCCGTCCACGTTCGCCCCCGTCCACGTTCGCCCCCGTCCACGTTCGCCCCCGTCCACGTTCGCCCCCGTCCACGTTCGCCCCCGTCCACGTTCGCCCCCGTCCACGTTCGCCCCCGTCCACGTTCGCCCCCGTCCACGTTCGCCCCCGTCCACGTTCGCCCCCGTCCACGTTCGCCCCCGTCCACGTTCGCCCCCGTCCACGTTCGCCCCCGTCCACGTTCGCCCCCGTCCACGTTCGCCCCCATTCACGTTCGCCCCCATTCACGTTCGCCCCCATTCACGTTCGCCCCCATTCACGTTCGCCCCCATTCACGTTCGCCCCCATTCACGTTCGCCCCCATTCACGTTCGCCCCCATTCACGTTCGCCCCCATTCACGTTCGCCCCCATTCACGTTCGCCCCCATTCACGTTCGCCCCCATTCACGTTCGCCCCCATTCACGTTCGCCCCCATTCACGTTCGCCCCCATTCACGTTCGCCCCCATTCACGTTCGCCCCCATTCACGTTCGCCCCCATTCACGTTCGCCCCCATTCACGTTCGCCCCCATTCACGTTCGCCCCCATTCACGTTCGCCCCCATTCACGTTCGCCCCCATTCACGTTCGTCCCCATTCACGTTCGCCCCCATCCACTTTCGCCCCCATCCACGTTCGCCCCCATCCACGTCGCCCCCATCCACGTCGCCCCCATTCACGTTCGCCCCCATTCACGTTCGCCCCCATTCACGTTCGCCCCCATTCACGTTCGCCCCCATCCACGTTCGCCCCCATCCACGTTCGCCCCCATCCACGTTCGCCCCCATCCACGTTCGCCCCCGTCCACGTTCGCCCCCGTCCACGTTCGCCCCCATTCACGTTCGCCCCCATTCACGTTCGCCCCCATTCACGTTCGCCCCCATTCACGTTCGCCCCCATTCACGTTCGCCCCCATTCACGTTCGCCCCCATTCACGTTCGCCCCCATTCACGTTCGCCCCCATTCACGTTCGCCCCCATTCACGTTCGCCCCCATTCACGTTCGCCCCCATTCACGTTCGCCCCCATTCACGTTCGCCCCCATTCACGTTCGCCCCCATTCACGTTCGCCCCCATTCACGTTCGCCCCCATTCACGTTCGCCCCCATTCACGTTCGCCCCCATTCACGTTCGCCCCCATTCACGTTCGCCCCCATTCACGTTCGCCCCCATTCACGTTCGCCCCCATTCACGTTCGCCCCCATTCACGTTCGCCCCCATTCACGTTCGCCCCCATTCACGTTCGCCCCCATTCACGTTCGCCCCCATTCACGTTCGCCCCCATTCACGTTCGCCCCCATTCACGTTCGCCCCCATTCACGTTCGCCCCCATTCACGTTCGCCCCCATTCACGTTCGCCCCCATTCACGTTCGCCCCCATTCACGTTCGCCCCCATTCACGTTCGCCCCCATTCACGTTCGCCCCCATTTACGTCCGCCCCGATTCACGTTCGCCCCCATTCACGTTCGCCCCCATTCACGTTCGCCCCCATTCACGTTCGCCCCCATTCACGTTCGCCCCCATTCACGTTCGCCCCCATTCACGTTCGCCCCCATTCACGTTCGCCCCCCTTCACGTTCGCCCCCAGTCACGTCCGCCCCCATTCACGTTCGCCCCCATTCACGTTCGCATGTTCGCCCCCAAACACGTTCGCCCCCATTCACGTTCGCCCCCATTCACGTTCGCCCCCATTCACGTTCGCCCCCATTCACGTTCGCCCCCATTCACGTTCGCCCCCATTCACGTTCGCCCCCATTCACGTTCGCCCCCATTCACGTTCGCCCCCATTCACGTTCGCCCCCATTCACGTTCGCCCCCATTCACGTTCGCCCCCATTCACGTTCGCCCCCATTCACGTTCGCCCCCATTCACGTTCGCCCCCATTCACGTTCGCCCCCATTCACGTTCGCCCCCATTCACGTTCGCCCCCATTCACGTTCGCCCCCATTCACGTTCGCCCCCATTCACGTTCGCCCCCATTCACGTTCGCCCCCATTCACGTTCGCCCCCATTCACGTTCGCCCCCATTCACGTTCGCCCCCATTCACGTTCGCCCCCATTCACGTTCGCCCCCATTCACGTTCGCCCCCATTCACGTTCGCCCCCATTCACGTCGCCCCCCATTCACGTTCGCCCCCATTCACGTTCGCCCCCATTCACGTTCGCCCCCATTCACGTTCGCCCCCATTCACGTTCGCCCCCATTCACGTTCGCCCCCATTCACGTTCGCCCCCATTCACGTTCGCCCCCATTCACGTTCGCCCCCATTCACGTTCGCCCCCATTCACGTTCGCCCCCATTCACGTTCGCCCCCATTCACGTTCGCCCCCATTCACGTTCGCCCCCATTCACGTTCGCCCCCATTCACGTTCGCCCCCATTCACGTTCGCCCCCATTCACGTTCGCCCCCATTCACGTTCGCCCCCATTCACGTTCGCCCCCATTCACGTTCGCCCCCATTCACGTTCGCCCCCATTTACGTTCCCCCGCCTTCACGTTCCCCCGCATTCACTTTCAACCCCATTCACCTTCACCATTCACGTTCCCCCGCCTTCACGTGACCCCGCATTCACGTTCAACCCCATTCACGTTCAACCCCATTCACGTTCAACCCCATTCTCGTCCACCCCCCATTCACGTTCACCCCCATTCACGTTCACCCCATTCATGCTCACATCCTTTCATCCTTACACACGTGTTTTCTGCGCTCTTTTTCCGCTGCACTGCCCTTCAGATGCGGATAAGAAGACCAAGGCAGCTTTCCCAACAGAACTAAGACGCTCAACGGCAACACCTGGCTTCGGTGGCATTGGTGGCGCTGCTGCAAGGCCAGGAGGAAAGGTGAGTGGTTTGTCCTGTGTCTCATGAGTGGATAAGAAGACCAAGGCAGCTTTCCTGACAGAACTAAGAGGCTCAACGGCAACACCTGGCATTGGCGGCATTGGTGGTGCCGCTTCAAAGCAAGGAGGCAAGGTGAGTTGTATGTCTTGTGTCTTGTGGGCGGATAAGAAGACCAAGGCAGGTTTCCTGACAGCAACACCTGGCATTGGCGGCGTGGTGGTGCTGTGTCATGTCAAGGCAAGGAGTAAGCAGCAGGCACACTCACAACCGAACACGCAAGCACACACAAGGGAGTAAGCAGCAGGCACACTCACAACCGAACACGCAAGCACACACAAGGGAGTAAGCAGCAGGCACACTCACAACCGAACACGCAAGCACACACAAGGGAGTAAGCAGCAGGCACACTCACAACCGAACACGCAAGCACACACAAGGGAGTAAGCAGCAGGCACACTCACAACCGAACACGCAAGCACACACAAGGGAGTAAGCAGCAGGCACACTCACAACCGAACACGCAAGCACACACAAGGGAGTAAGCAGCAGGCACACTCACAACCGAACACGCAAGCACACACAAGGGAGTAAGCAGCAGGCACACTCACAACCGAACACGCAAGCACACACAAGGGAGTAAGCAGCAGGCACACTCACAACCGAACACGCAAGCACACACAAGGGAGTAAGCAGCAGGCACACTCACAACCGAACACGCAAGCACACACAAGGGAGTAAGCAGCAGGCACACTCACAACCGAACACGCAAGCACACACAAGGGAGTAAGCAGCAGGCACACTCACAACCGAACACGCAAGCACACACAAGGGAGTAAGCAGCAGGCACACTCACAACCGAACACGCAAGCACACACAAGGGAGTAAGCAGCAGGCACACTCACAACCGAACACGCAAGCACACACAAGGGAGTAAGCAGCAGGCACACTCACAACCGAACACGCAAGCACACACAAGGGAGTAAGCAGCAGGCACACTCACAACCGAACACGCAAGCACACACAAGGGAGTAAGCAGCAGGCACACTCACAACCGAACACGCAAGCACACACAAGGGAGTAAGCAGCAGGCACACTCACAACCGAACACGCAAGCACACACAAGGGAGTAAGCAGCAGGCACACTCACAACCGAACACGCAAGCACACACAAGGGAGTAAGCAGCAGGCACACTCACAACCGAACACGCAAGCACACACAAGGGAGTAAGCAGCAGGCACACTCACAACCGAACACGCAAGCACACACAAGGGAGTAAGCAGCAGGCACACTCACAACCGAACACGCAAGCACACACAAGGGAGTAAGCAGCAGGCACACTCACAACCGAACACGCAAGCACACACAAGGGAGTAAGCAGCAGGCACACTCACAACCGAACACGCAAGCACACACAAGGGAGTAAGCAGCAGGCACACTCACAACCGAACACGCAAGCACACACAAGGGAGTAAGCAGCAGGCACACTCACAACCGAACACGCAAGCACACACAAGGGAGTAAGCAGCAGGCACACTCACAACCGAACACGCAAGCACACACAAGGGAGTAAGCAGCAGGCACACTCACAACCGAACACGCAAGCACACACAAGGGAGTAAGCAGCAGGCACACTCACAACCGAACACGCAAGCACACACAAGGGAGTAAGCAGCAGGCACACTCACAACCGAACACGCAAGCACACACAAGGGAGTAAGCAGCAGGCTCTCTGAGAGGAGGTGCGACACAAAAACAGTTTCGAACGGCCCGTCGTTTTCTGGTTCAGTGCATTTTTTCTGCACCCTGTCTGGCAAGGCTAAACATCAGGACACCCTGGCAAAATCAGGCTAACCTGTACGTCTACACTTTTTCAGAAAGGGGAACAAATCAAGTACCGTATTCTCCCGGATATAAGACTCCCCGGAAAACAAGACCCCCGGGTCTGTAATACGGGGGTGGGTCTTTTATTTTGGCAGGTTTTCACTATACCCCCCCTTTGAGGGGGTAACATTACTAGACCCCCCCCCCCCCCCCCCCCCCCCCCCCCCCCCCCCCGAGCCTAGATACTACCGTATTCCCCCGGATAAAACACCCTAGGGTGTTATTATAACCACTGGAAAAAAATGGGGGGGGTCTCCTCAACGGAAAATCCTGTATAATACCCGGGTCTATTCATATGGCATTTTTTAATATAAGGACTTTGATAAATAAACAGCTTTGGCGTTTTCGAGGTTGGTTAACCAGCACACTAAGAGACGGGAACGCGAGTTTCGGCAAGTTCTATCTTGACCACCTTGAAGATCGCATGTGGCACCTGTGTGGCCACTTGACAATGAAAGATTCGCCAGCGTGGCGACAGCGAAATTGTGGGAGGGGGGGAATCTCGGC